TGCACAGGGAGACTGGACAGCCACACACACACACACACACACACTTTCTACATGTCTTGGGACAATCAAGTCTGCCTGTTTGTGGTACATCATTCTGAGTGATAAAAATGACTAATCTGGCGCAAGAAACATTCATAATGCGTTTATAATAATTTAATGTTACGACTTGTCATCGACAGCAGTAATACGACGCTTTCTTTGAATTGAGCATAGATATGTACCGATGTGGAAGTAAGCCATCTGATAACTCAATGCAGGACAACCAAAAAAGAAAAAATGTTATTACACGCTCCAATGCTACAAGCAGTAGAAGAGGTAGATCCCAACTCACAAAGACCCGCAGATAACCGGCAATCTAGTCCATGAGGCTTGAAGAAAGCCCTAATGAGGTGTGGTGTCGAGCCGGAAAGCAACCCGGTTGTCTACCATCAGAGTTTGGTGACGATGATAGTTTTTATGAAGTAGCAGCTGTCACAGTAAACCGATAGGAATCACGATCTGCCGGAACCCATTACCTAATGTGATTGATTAAGCCTATTCATAATCAACGGGACTGAAAGATGTTTCTTCAAAGTCAAAATACCACACATAAGATGACACTTGGTAAGGATCTGGCAGTCCAATGACAATCATGCTGAGGCGTGCTGTTTGTCCGTGATCAATCACTGTTTTGCTTTGATCAAACTCACACAAAAGCAATCAATTATAATGTAAATCGAATAAATAATTCGCTTACTTTGTCCATATGTTCGTCAGACTTCACCATTTCGGCAAAATAGTCTGCAGGACGTTTTGTGGGAACGCCTAGCGCGTGCATCTGAGGGATAGCTTTGAGCACGGCGGCCTGACCAATGCGATAACTGGAACAAGTGTTTGATAATAGTGATCATAAGAGCAAAATGCTTAAAAGTAAAGGGTGAATACGATGAGTGATCGTCAGTTCAAGTGTTATTATGTCCTATAAATCCAGTCAAACCATTCTTATGTATATATATATATATATATATATATATATATATATATATATAGAGAGAGAGAGAGAGAGAGAAGTGCCCGTGATGAAAGGAATAAATTCGCAGGACACAATAAGTGCATGAAGCACCTAGCCAGTAACTGTGAGAATTTTCATCCAGATGCGTACTAATTCTTCGAGATTAATATCTGTACTTGAACTTAACTATGACCCGGTAACGACTAGCTCTATTCACCTTGGGGGCAGGTAGTAACATCGAATATGCAAAGATGGATATTGAATGTTAACAGCTCATTTCTAATCGTAATGCAATTGCCCGAAACCGTGTGCGATAACCTTGGTTCGCAATAGTAAAACTTGAGTGTACACCGCTCAGTGTGGCGTTTTCGCTCAAGAAGACAAGCAATACTACAAGCTTTTATAAAAGTATAGTGTCAAAATGCGACCATTTAGGCTAGAAATAATATGAAATTATAATATATCAACAATACTGTGGTATAAAATGTACAAAAAAACATTTTTCTTTAAAGTTCACGTCAAAATAAAGCACATGATTTGGAATTAGATACTCACAAGTAATTTTCTCGCTTGAAATCGTCGTCTGGGTCGATTTTTTCGGAGTCATTTTCCACATCCAACTCCTTAGATGCAGGTGCAGGTGGTGTCACGATATCCAATCGCTCAATCCATGGCAATTTATTCTCGATGTGTTTCAGAATGTTTTCCAAAGCGGGCTGATCAGAGGGTGAGATAGGAAGAGTATACATTTATCAGAAAGAATAGACCGATTTCGTTTGGTATGCCTTATCATCGATTACAGAGAGGCTATTTACATTGAATTAATGACCCTCTCATTTGAATTCCAGTAGATTCGGTGGATATGCATACTACCGATGAGTTCTATTAAGGAAAACAGATATGCAGTGACTAGTGATGCGTTGCATTTGTATGACGGATACACTCATAAATTTGCTAAAGGGCAGTCAGCAGTAGTGACAAAGAGATTTCGCGAACGAACTTGGGTCTTGGGCCATTTTAAGCTGATATGAGACGTCGCCGGTGTACTAGTATAAATAGCCATAGCATAGCTCGGCATCGGTCTCTCTCAGAGCTTTGTTTGAAAGTTCAGTCTTCCATCTGGTCAACTACTTCCAAAGATTGAATCAACCAACCGTGGTTAACTTTTACGGCAGAAAGCGCCTTCCAGCGCCATTTACATCACAGCCGGATCTTGTCTTTCGTTTAGCAGTTTTTATGATACACTTGTGTGATGAACAGCAGACAGGTTGGACCCCATGGTCACGAAGACCTGCTGTTCACTGATGGAAACCGGTAAGCCCCGGGACTTGGACTGACGAACCACATAAAGCCCTGCTAGGTTGGGTGTGATATTGAAGCGGACGACAGCAAAGCTGCCTACCACCAAAGTCAGGTGGCGTTGGCGGGGTTCGAACCTTGGATCAATACGGTAGGTCGGTGAACTCCAGTTAATGAGGCAGTCTGCGATAAAAAGGGATAAGCTATTAACAATAAGGATGAATGGCTTGATCTCTGGGCAGAATACTTGAGCAAACATTTCTGCCGGCCAGGCGCTAGCCACATTTACTCATCTGCAACTGAAGCTGCTTCAAAAGCGAATGGCCCAGAAGTAAATTAACTTGCTGTTCGAGTGAAGATCTACAACGAATTAAGTGAGCCATTCATCACCGGCGGCGGCGGCGGCAGTCAACAGTGCATTATTTCGCCAGTTCTGTTCAATTTTGTTGAAGAAAAAACACTGGAGAACGCACTGAGTGGTCTCCAAAAAGTAGGTCCACCTCTATGTGCTCTCGTTGCACGTGCTGGGCACGGCCGGGACAAGTGCCGCGGCGGTAAGACCATGACCTAGCGTAGATGTATGAAGAACATTTCGTACGTGATTTATAATAGTGACCAGAATGGTTTCCCCGGAAGATTCCCTGGTGTCTACAAACATTAGTAACTGAGAAGTGCAATCTGTGGAGGAGTCTGATGAGTATAGGTCCAATACTTATTGAGAAATCATTTTGACGATGGCA